ATATTTAATCCTAAGGTTCTCATTATTTGCTATGTCTCCTGCTTCGGTCAGATACCTGGCTATGTGTTCGACTGTTGATTCATTGGTATCTCCAGCAAACTTTGTAAACTTAGGGACCTTATATCCCCTTGGTAAATCAGTATGTATTATGTAATCTACTATAGGAGAGGCATAATTTGGCCTTCTAATTCCTGTATTGAGGCTATTTTGGGCCATAATCCTCTCTATCATGGTGGTTAAATTATTTTCTGCCAAGATGTTATCGTTTCAAATTCTGTGAACGATTGCATCAGCATCTTGATTTCGACCCACCATGACAACTCCTCTAGGTTGTTCTTCTCGAAACGCTGGGACTTCTAGCCTTTCGACCCTTGCCCCTGGTTCTATAATTCCACTTTGTGGTTCCTCTCGAATCACTAGGGCATCTAACCTTTCGATCCTTGCCGATGGTTCTATAAATCCCCTTTGTGGTTCTTCTCGAATCACTGGGGCATCTAACCTTTATGCTATTGCCCCCAAATTAACCCCCTCTCTGACTGGTCTATAGGGTGGGTCATCAGCAATTTGTTCTATGATAGGTATGTTTGCTCGAATCAATGCCTGGTTCTGTCTACGCCTTTCTGGCGGAGCGAAGAAATCTGCTATTCGACTCATGTTATCCGCGTTTTCTCTGTTTGTCACAGTTACATTTTGTACTATTGGGGCAAAGATCTCTTGCATAGTTTGTGCTAACACTCCTATCATATTATGGTTACTATCATCCATTAATTGCCTAAAAGCCATCTGATTTTCTGTGGTTAAGATAGGCAATGCACTATAACCTACTGACCCTTGGTTATTTGTTATAAATTGATTAGCCCTAGATCCAGACCCTAATTGTGGTGACGTATTCGATGTCGAAGTGTGCAGACCCGCCATAAAAGATGTTGGCATCCCATAAGAGGGATTTCTGGGTCTATTACCATCGAAACTGGGTGGTATAGTTGGTGGTGGGGTGGCGAAATGGGTTGTGTCCCTGATGGTGGGACGAATCCCCCAGGATAACCAGTGGTTACTGTATTTCCTAGGATCAAACTGTTAGTCGACATGCCACTTGTTCCATTCGTGGCTACACTACTGGTAGAGGATGCAACAGACTGTGCGCTCGAAGGGATCGCATTAGACGTTCCCGTCGAAGCAGACATATTAGTGCCTGTTCCATGTGGGGCATTTTGTTCCCCTTGTTGATTGTTTGGATTAGACATCTTGTTATTACGTTTTCTTCTGGATAAGGGTTGGTTGCTATTGGTTATTCTACCACTTCTAAGGTTCATATAACAACGAACTTATCACTCAGAAAGAACTTTTACAATGATTATATCCTAACAATCTTTACTTTGTTTTAAATTTCGTAACGACCAATGACTGTCCCACCGGGTGTGCCAATTTGTTTACAGTGATTTCTGGTAAACAACCGCTAGTCCTCCAAACTATCAAATAATCTTAATGACTGTTATTTAATCTCTCTGGTAACTTGCAGGATCGACTAGATTGATCCTATGGGGTATTGGTCGTTTGGATAAATCTAATTGCAAAACTGATATTCATAGTTAGGATTTGTATTTAGAATGTTTTATAGACGTTCAATTCACTTCGATTACCATGTTAAAAGAATCTAATGACATGATCAAGTAAAGAAATACGAAACTGAATTAAATGAATAAAGATTCGATTGCAAAGAAATGTTTAAATGCAGAAATAAGTAAATGACTTTGAATGTAAAGACTTTAATGTAAAAAGCATGAATATAAAAGCATGAAATGTAAAAGAGTTTCTGAAATGTAAAGGATTCGAATAGAAGAAAAGCGTTTAAATACAAGAAATAAGTAAATGACTTTGAATGTAAATGTATTTGAATGACATTGACATGAAAATGGAAGATAAACTGGAAAAGATAAAGAGTTTTACTGAATTATAAATGTTTGGTGTCATCATACGTACATTGTTCGAGCATTTGTTTCCCTATCCATGTGGTATTTTGAATGTTTACTGAATTTTGTACAATAGATATGACACACTAAATCCTAACAATAAGACTTCTATTTATACTATTCGACCATAACGGTCTTGCTATCAGAATCTTCCACGTTCGAAGCATGCAGAGCATTGCTTCCCTCTAGCCTCCACGTGTCTTCGAACACTCTTACGCTTGTGTATTTGAATTTCCAATATCCCGCTCACGTTTGAATTTCAAATGTTTTGGAACTTCTCGTTTCGAGTCTGTTCATAGGTTATTTCCAAAATGACCTTCACAAATATCCTCTTATGATTATTTCGAACAAGGCTTTGGACTCACACTCCACAACTTATCATTCGAAACCTTGAATTCTAATATTTTCATTCGAAACAAGCATTCTCTTCCATTCCAAAAAATCTGCTTTATCCAAACAAAACTCAACCATAGTAATTTCATTTCGAATCACAATATCAAAATCTTCAGCCAACACACGGCTAACCTTATTTCTATGCCACAATCGAGTCAACAGCCATATCGTCCTCTTATGAATCTCACTCCACCATTAATGCATCCTACTCTACCACATATGCATCCCACTCCACCATCTATGTGTCTCACTCCACCATCGATGCATCCTACTCTACCACATATGAATCCCACTCCACCATCTATGCGTCCCACACCACCATCTATGCATCCTTCTCCTTCTACATTCACAGACCTACTATCCGCACCTTATTCTACATTTCCTGACATTTCCCCCTCAGCTTTTCTTAGTCCTCCTGGACATACATCTTATATGCCCCAGGATGGACCTAACACCTCCATACCTACTATAGATCCAGCATTTACGCAGTATAGGGATCCAAGTGGTGGATCTAGCCCGTTACATTCATCACCCATACATTCTTCGCATGAGGAGCAAGGTGGTGATGATGACCATTCAGAGCAGGTTGTTCAGGATGAGGCTGACCAGGAGCATAGGAATGCACGCATTTTGAGAAATGTGCCACAAGTGATTAGGAATAGGAATGGACGATTTGTCATTCAGCCAGAGGGATCATCGTAAGTGTTTATGTTTAAATTATAAATTTTAATTGTTCGTTTATAATTAATACTAACTCATATTTTGGTTGTTTAGATTTTACCCATCACATCAGGAAGCAACTTGCATAACTGAGATCATTAAAGAAAAGTATAACAAATTTTGGCCTACGTATGGTGTAGTTGATGGCGATGAGAGGGAGGCTTGGTTTAGGTTATTTCAAGTATAATCAACTTTGTTTAATCTTTTTGATGTTTTTTACCTTTATTAAAGTAATTCACTCAATCACGATTATAACTTTATTTCATATTTTTTGAAGGAGAAATGTTGTTGGGACCCTAGAGATGATATCCAAATAAGAGATAATTTTAACATTAAATGTGCTCAACAATTTTCTGACACGATGAGGCGTGTTAGAATTACTTGGGAAAATAAACGCTTGCGTCCGCGTTGGATAAGTCCAGATGTATTTGAGCAGCTTATTGCCCATTGGAATTCTGATTCCTTTAAGAGTACATCTGAAAAGACCAAGAAAAATAGAGCCTCTGAAGTTGGCGGATGCAACTACGTCTATGGTAGTATTAGTATTGCTGATTTTGCACGGAGAATGGTAAATTTAAGTATTTTGCAATTAACTCAACAATTTTAAATTATGTTATAACTATTTTTTTATGTCATCTACTTAGCGTGATGAGTTGGGCAAAACTCTGCTTCTTAATGAGCTCCATAAGGAGACTCGTCTCAAGAAAAATGGAGAGTTTGTTGATGAGCGCTCAAGAAAAACTCAAGTAAGTTTTTCTTAAACTTAGTCATTTTATTTATTTCTTTTGTGTCTAGCATAATTTAAATTGCAATAACACCTACTCTTTTTAATAGGAGGAGTATGAAAAACAGCTTGCCCTAAGATTATCACAGCATCCTGAATATACACCACCTCTTTCGGGATTTTCCACTGATCCTAGTCTGAGTTTTCAGACTTGGTATGATGTATCTCGTGGAAAGAGAAAAAATGGGAGAGTGTATGGTGTTGGAGGTCTCGTCAAAACAATCCGGCAGCGTGATAGGAGTTTCATAATGCAAATTGCTGATGGTGAAGGATCATCGACTCAACCTTCACTTACCCCAAACATGATGGAAACTATGAGATCATTAGTGCACTCTGAGGCTTCTCGTGAAGTGGAAGCAAGAAATGCTGAAATAGAAGAATTGAAGAAGAGACAAAAAGAAATGGAGGAAGAAATGAGAAGAAAAACTAGAGAATATGAGGAATCTATGCGTATTTATGCATATTTTTCAACAGTTTATGCAACAATTTGGCGGGCGTGATAATCAAGGACAAAATGACAATGAAGACATTAACACCGATGAAGAAAATTAATCTTTATCAATAACACTTTTTATTTATAATTATAAACAATATTCTTATAATAATTTAATTTTAATTCAGTATTTTATTAATATAATATTAATTATAAATTATATTATGTATTATATTTAAAAATATATTACTAATATTATTAATATTGAATTTTTTATTTTATTAAATTATAATTATGAAATTCATTGATTATAAATATAATAATAATAATAAGAAAATTAAATAATTATGTTTATAATTTAAAAAATAAATTATTGTTTTTAGTTTGGGGTAAACCCTTAAGTATTTAGCTAGGGGTAAACCCCTAAGTATTTAGCTAGGGGTAAAGCCCCCTAACTAATGGCCAATTAAATTTTGCCTTTAGCGAGGGGTTTAGCTCCAAGCTAATTGGCTAGGTGCTTAGCCCCTCACCCCTTGTCTGCCACAGTGATTTAGTTAGGGGACGTAACCCCTTGTAAATATTGATTTTGTGAAATGTTTTTTGGTTTAGTGAGGAGTTAAATCCCTAGAACTTTTTTTCTTATAGGGAGCAGCTTTTTGTAGCTTTTTGTAAGGCGCTTTTCTTCATCGTAACAAGTGGTCTAACGGTTCAGTAAACCTTCAAACATTCGTTCAGCAGGATAGCGTATTGTGAAGCTGAGCATTTCGCCTCTTCTAAGCTTCTTCTTTTTCGCATATTTGTACAATCCCCTCCTGATGAACTTCTCCTTCTTAAACACCTTTTTGTTATTCTTGGTACAGTGGACTCCAGCATAGTAAGTATAGCCATTATCCTCATCAATGAGTTCAATGGCTCTCTGATTCCAATACAGTATTTTCTTTGTCACATCCCTAGGAAAATGTTGCATCGAAACAACATCACATAATAATCACTAAACTGTGTTTAAAATATAGTACAATGTTTGATATTTTTTCAATGATTCCTGATACCTGCACGTTCTTCTGAGCTTTATAACCAGAGGTGATATCTCTCTCTCTCTCAGGTATACTCTAGAGGTAAAACTTCATCATCACTCTTAGAGTTGCTGCTATGAACATTCAACATTGGATCATTAAATGACTCCTTGACTCTAGCTTGAATACAAGTAATTTCTTCATACACACCAGAAGACATGTCCTCAGTGCTGGTTTCATATCAAACAATATAAAGATTCAGATTTATGTTATTTCTCTAATATGTTTAAAATCTCATAAGTAACTATTACATCATTCCTATCATTCGCATTTTGACAACACCATTTGTGAATAAGAGAGTAACACAACAACATATCCATTTTTCTTTAACATGCAAACAAATAAAACATTACTATTTTATAAATTGTGTTCATTCTAAGAAAACTCTTAACCTGCTACTGTCGGGGGAAAATTGAAATATGAGAGACACTGGGTTCCGTTGTTCTCTTCTGTTTTACTGCAACGTCGAGTCGACATTCTTCTTCGTTTACACCACCTGGTATTGTTTGTTCCACGAGAGCTTTCTCAGTTTTGTTTGCTTCTGCATGACCAACCATAGCAGGTGAAGACATGCATCAACAAACAAAGCACATGCATGAGCAACTATTTATATGATCAACAAGTGGATAGAAAGATGCATCATTTGCATCAAAACCAAGTAATTCATTTATGATTGGGGAAATACTAAATGCACGCTTTTAAGCAATCAAGGTGAGGAATGAAAAGTGTGTATACCTCCAGCTTAAACCTGGGTTTTTGTCATTTTACATTTTGCAACTGAAGATAAAGTACACTCAATAAAACTCTAGGATTCTTTATATATTGAAGTTTTGGGCCCATCAACAATTATGTAACGACTGGCCCATCCGTATGCATTCAAAACTCGCGTGGTCAATTACTTGCCTTTTGTATTCACCTAATTTATTAGTTTTATATTAGGTACAACTACCACACTTTAATTGATTTGCTTTGGTATGTTCAGTATGCCATTTTATGCAGCTAATTTAATTGCTTTGGTATGCTCAGTTGTGGGCCCATTTGATATCACGATTTTCTAAGTTGGTTGCACACTACTCTCCTTCACGTGTGATACCTTCCAAGTTTACTATCGAGAGATATGTTACATGATTACAACACATTGTATTCTATCGTACCTTACACGATGATTCATTCAGGGATGATACTTTCAATATTACTGTCAGTGATGGTGGACAAGAAAGATAAAAGACAAAAGAAATATTTTTTGACAACTATATGATCAGGGGCGGATTCAGACTTTATATATTGGTGTGGCTAAACATAAAAGAAATTATCGACTAAAATATATTGAAAATAAAAAATAATATTGTTTGATGAAGTGTATTTACAATGAAAACCGTCTAGTATCAATTTCTTGAAAATGAGCTAAAATAACATCATTGTTAATTGTTCCAAGAACATCTCTTTCTATAAAAGTTACAAGACGATCATTTAACCATTGATCACCCATTTTGTTACATAGCTGACTCTTCACAAACTTCATAGCTGAAAAAACACGTTCCACGCTCGCAGTTGCTACTGGCAAGACTAAACCCAACTTCAGAAGCTTATAAACTATATCAAAAGTGTTGCATTTTTTTGTTTCCACAAGTTTTGCACAAAGATCTGAAAGTCCGTTTAAATTTGCAAATTTTGGATCACATCGAACATTTCTAACATAGTTCTGAAGCTGATGTCGTACCGCCACTTCCGGCACATCTACAAAATCATTTGGATAAAGTTCAACCATCCTCAATAATTTTTTCACATCAAAAGATTCAAATGATGATGAGGGACTCAAACATAAAACACATTGTAAAAGTTCAGTATTCTCTTCATCAAACCTAGCATTGAGCTCATGCAACTGCAAATCTAAAACACTACATAAACAATCATGCTTATAATGATGCAAATTAGAAACACTAGAAGTGATAGCATGTCGTCTAGGTTTCTTCCCTTGCACGTACGCTGCATCCAAATCAGGCACATCAATATCATGCTTATTGCAAATTTCCATAACCTTAGATATAAGTTCTTCCCATCCATCATTTCTCATTTCTTGTAATTCCTGTTTGGTGACTTTGACAAGTGATAAAGCATTCAAAAGATCTTGATCACGCTTTTGTAGCACTACACTTAAATCATTTGTAAATCCTAAAATCTCAACCATCATGTATAACATGAAAATAAAATCAAAGGACTGAAGCACATCTAGCAAAAGCATAGTTTCACCATATTTTTCAAATGACGTATCTTTCCCGACTTCTTCAAGTACCTCAATAATGGCACCATATAAAGTCATCAAACTAGTGAGAGTCCTAAAGTGGGAACCCCAACGAGTGTCACCCGCTCTAGCAATAGACGATTCTTGATTTAATCCACTACCAGTCTATATCTCACCCTCTTCAATCAATTTAGCAAATTGAGATACTTGTTTGTCCCGAAGCAATTCTTGTCTCTTGTTAGAAGACCGTATGAAATTAACAAGCATATTGACCTTACCGAAAAAACCACTAACATCTTTGTGAGTCTTAGCACATGCAACAAGTGCTAATTGAAGTTGATGGGCAAAATAATGCACATAATAAGCTGATGGATTTTCATTTTGAATTAAAGTTCTCAAACCACCAAACTTACCTCGCATATTGCTAGCTCCATCATATCCTTGCCCCCTTATGCTAGATAAACTCAAGCCATTAATAGACAACAACTTCTCAAGTGTCTCCTTAAGTGACTTAGCACTTGTTTCTTTAACACTAACAATCCCAAGAAACCTTTCTTTTACCAAACCATCACTATTAACATAGCGAATAACAACAACCATTTGTTCTTTACCAGCAACGTCACCGGATTCATCAATCAAAACACAAAACACATCATCCGCAATATCACATACAATTTGTTTAGTTATTTCACATGCACAAGCAGCATCAAGATCCTTTTGAATCTTAGGGGCAGTCATAAAGTTATTTCCTGGAGCACAATTTATTACCTTAGCTATCTCTGGGTTAATTTCCTTTAGAGTGTCCACTAACTCAAGAAATGGCCCCTTAAATAAAGAGTTAAAGGACTCGTCACTCCCTCTAAATGGCATGCCACACCTCAAAAGAAACTTAGTAGCTATAAGAGATGTGTTTACACGAACACGATATTCAGAATTCATTTGTTTAGTTTGATTAACAAATGCAGCCTTAATACTTTGGTTTGGGTTCATGAGAGCGTAACTCATATGCACACAATCAATATGACTATTGGAAGAAGTTCCATGATTAGCCAATCTGTGAGAATTCTTCCAATCACCAAACCCCTCTGTCACAAAGTGATCTCCCCCGTATTTAGAGACATTCTTAAACAAAAAACATGGCAAGCAAAATGCCAGGTCCTTAGATTCACTATAATCAATCCAATCATACAAATCAAACCAATTTTTGCAAAATCTACGTCTTTGATTACCTTGAACAGACCAAGGGTAAACAAAATTGTAAGGAGGTTTATGACGACCTATTTTTAAATAAGCTTTCCTTACCTCATTTTGGATGTCAGGATGATAGCTTGAAATTGGAGGCCTAATTCCTGGATCGGTTTTCAACAATTCATAATCGACAACTTTAATACTCTCACTTGGATGTTGAGTTTCCGATGCTTCTAGATTTACCGAAGAAGTAGCTTTGTCTCTAGAAAGCACAGGAAAAAATTTCTTCATCCTATAAAGAGAACAATGAAACCATTAAAATTAGTTATTCACTCTATAAAGAAAATAATAAGAACAATTTATTGTAAAGAAAATATTTATGAGAAATTGAAAATTTACTTTTTTAAAACAAATTGGGGTTTTAGGGTTCAACTCAAATAGAACAAAAGAATAAGAAAATTTTGAAGTAGTTAGTTAACCTTTGATTTTCAATCACCCATAAACAATGCAAAATGGTGGGGTTATTGGATTTAATGAGAGAAAGAGACAAATATGGAAGTTGGTGGGGTTTGAGAAAAAGAGAAATGGTTTACTGTGTGAGAGAGAAAGAAATAAAAGAGAGAGAAAATTAAGAGATAAAAGTGAGTTGAAGAGTTATATAATATTAAATATTAAAATTAATTAATTAATTAAATATATATTAATATTAGAAAAAAAAAATCTGGTGTGGCTATAGCCACACCTAGCCTAAACATGGATCCGCCCATGTATATGATGATTCATTCAGGGATGTTGCTTTCAATATTACTGTTAGTGTTGATACACAAGGAAGATAAAAGATAAAAGGAATATTTTCTGATAGCTTCAAAAATATGAATTTACAATGAATTACAATAATCTATTTCACTGGATTATTTATACACAAAATTAAATCTAAAATATATCTTCTAACAAAGATATAAGAAGATCTAAGATATATATCTTTTAACAAAGATATAAATAATCTAAAAGATATTCTTAAATATAAATTAATATCTAATTAATTATAAAATCTAAATTAATTCTAACATCATCCCTTAATTTATATTTACCCAAAACTGACAACACCAATTCCATCCCTTAAACCAAGAAATTGATCAGTTTTGATAGTCTTTGTCAGAATATCTGTCAGCTGCTTTTGGGTGCTACAATGCACAACTTCTAAAATTCTATTCTGAACTTGATTCCTCGGAAAATGATACTTGATCTCAATATGCTTGCTTCTCCCATGCAACACTGGATTCTTAACAAGATTGATTGCAAACGTGTTATCAATCATCAGCTTCAGAAGTTTATTTACCTCAATCTTCAGATCTTTCAGCAAGTTCAGAATCCACACAGCTTGACATGCAGTCAGAGCGCCTGCAATATATTCAGCTTCACAAGTTGACAGTGCAACAACAGGTCGTTTATTAGAACACCAAGAAATAGGATCTCCCAGAAATTTGAATAAGTATCCAGAAGTACTTCTTCTATCAACTCTATCTCTGCACCAATCAGAATCAGAATAACTCAAGTTCTGATTTGATCTTTCTTCCAGACGAAAATAACACTCCATATTTCAGAGTTCCCTTCACATACCTCAGAATCCTGACGTCAGCTTGGTAATGAGACCACTTTGGTTTGCTCATAAATCTGCTAACTATTCCAACTGTATAGCAAATATTGGGTCTGGTATTACACAAATACCTTAGAGAACCAACCATCTATTTAAAGGTTGTAGCATCCACATCCTCTCCATCAGAATCAGGGTCCAACTTCTGATTTGTATTAGTAGGTGTGATAGCAACTTTGCAATTTTCTAACTCAAATCTCTTCAGAAGCTCGAGTTCATACTTCATCTGATGTAAACTGTTTCCTTTCTTAGAGTACATAAATTCTATCTGTAGAAAAAACTCATTTTCCCAAGATCTGTCATCTCAAATGCATTCATCAGAACTTTCTTGAACTCAGCTATCTCTTGTTCAGAACTGCCTGTGAGTAATATGTCATCAACATACAAACATAC